GCCTAGGCCCGTGAGCTAAATATCGCCGCTTCTTGAAGACATGTTGTTTTGAGACTGTGCTAGTCTGGGCAGAATACCCCGGTGACAGCCAGCCAAAAGCCGCTCGAACCCTGCAGCATTTTTGCGCCCCGACAGATTCCTTGGAACCCTGCGCAAAATGACCACCCACGATTCCAGGATTTAGAGGCAATTTCGGGAGTTCAGCTCGCATGGCCATACCATCTGGGAAGGGCTCCGAGCACTGCGGTGACATGCCCAAGAGGGGGATGCAAAAACAAGATGATTGGATGTAGGTTCCAACCCCAGGCCTTCAAGAAACCGTTGCGCAACAGCCAACTTGTACATAGGTCTACAAGTTCCAAATTTCAGTGGGCTGCTGGTTTCACCAGCACAATCTTGGTCCCGGGTCCTTTACATGCTACCTCATCTGGCTTGTCCGAGCTGTGAAAGCATCATTCTCAAACGTTGGGTGATTCAGGCAAGTCCTTGCGGAAACTGAGGCCAAACAAGCCCTGGTAAGGTTTTCGGAGACCCCGGGGAGGCGAACGTGAGCCCAAGCAACTTTATGAACGCTCGCATCTTACAGAGAGAGGCACCTATTTAGCATTCAGGCACAGGGTCCCGTCATTTCTGATTTGAACGAACCGCTAAATCCGAATTCGTGGACCGCTGAGGGCCTGAGGGTCTGGAAAACTCCGTCCTAAGCACCCAAACCTTGGTCCATGCCCCTCAGAGTACCTAAACCCGACACCCCCTCCCCCCCTCCCCGAGTCTGTGAGTTTGGGTCTTCAAGCTGGAGGTTTTCGGATATCTGCCAATATGGATCCTGTACTACTATTTTACACCGGGCCGACCGCGCACCATGAACCTCACATCTGGCCATCTGGAGTTCGACTCCGTAAACCGCCTTCAGTCCCAATCCTTCCTCCCCCACATCTGGCCAGGTGGTCTGTCTTCTTGCCTTCCAGCGCTTCCTGGAAGCTCCTTTTCGTCAAGTTTGTGAGCCTTCTTTTGATTGTTTGTTGTGCGGCCTTTTCTTATGAGGAGTTTTTTTTATAAGGATTGTTCGCAAGGGTCGCAAGGGCTTCCTAAGAAAAGGCGCGCATTACTTTTGGGTCTCGAGGTGCTACTAGTGTTTTGCGGTGCTTAAATACCGGCCCCAAAAAACTTCGGAGTTTATGGCTTTAGGTTTTGGGGTTTAGGGTTTCGGTCTCTTCCGTGGGCTAGCTGCTGACTACGGAGTTCTATTTATTGGGCTTACACAGGTCCCACATGGCTCTCCGTGTTTGTATGAGTCCTTCTGCACGAACTCGGGCTTGTGCCACTTCTGCTGGCCAAATTAGGGCTCGCGGACGCACACGCCCACGATACCCCGTGTTGAAAGCTAGGCTACCTGCTTCCTGCATGCTTACACAGTGTGACATGTTGGTTTTGACAGTGAGAAGGCTACTTCCAGACTTTCGTACACTTTGACGTACATTCCGCTTTATCGCACCGTCCAGGAGTTGTTTCTTTCTACGCGGAGGCTGCAGCAAATCGTTGCTTTCGCAGGTCAATTTTTTGACTTGAAGAGGACGCCCCGATTAGCTACTATAGTGCTGAACCATGCTAAAACGGTGACCTACCCTTGCCTTAGATCCTTGGTATCCTCGGAAGTTGTAGGCACCGGACACCGACAACAGCCGCAAACCCAAACCTGGAGGCGGGTTTTTAGGGGCAAGTACTATTTTTTTTGGCACCATGGACATGGCAAACTTCTCTTCGTACTTCTCTCCCAACCACCCTAACATCCCCCAAGCCCCAACCCCTGAAAACACAGTGCCAAGGCTCCTGCTGCTAGCCGGGACCACATCCATGCCCTCATTGCCCAGGCGGTGTCGTTTTCACTGGCATGGTTTGCACAGGGATGCGTTGTTTGAAGGGTGCAGATTGGTTGAACTATTGCTACAGTCGTGACAACAGCAACCTCGTATTGAACGGTTTCCAGTACAAGCCCAGGTTGCCGTCTCCAGAGCAGGGAAGACAGGGAACCAGCAGCTCCAACAGCAACAAAAACAGCAGCAACAGGACTTGGTACATCCGAAGCTCCTTCAGCGTCCTTGATTTCTTCCGGCGGCAAGGGCTGAGATCTCCACCAAACAAGAGAGCTACCAGCGTTCTCAAACGCAACAGGAACAATACAACCCGGCCGAAAGGTTGGCACTGGCGAGGGGAAATCGATGATCGTCGCCGCTCGGGTCCCAGCTCTTGCCATCTCTTGCCTTTGTTTGGTTGCTATTATCATGTGTCTGTTTGACTTCAGACTGCTAGTGTGCTAATTGCTCGAAACCGCTGTTCCTTTGTCTGCCGGAAATCCCCCTCACCCTCAGCCTGTTTTATGATGACCTCTTGCAAGGCAGAGCGTGTGGAACTGATCAACCCGATAGCAACCTATACTTGATGGACGGAGAACGGCCTCGCCTTGACAAGGCTTTGGCCATCTACGTTGTCGTAGCGCTGCGCAAGAAGGTCCATGTCGTGCTGGGCTGAGTCGTGCCGCTGCCACTGCTACAGTTGCTGTATGTAGCTTTGGTGGCCAGCGTGTGCCCCATGCAGGCCCATGCAAGTACACCGAGCTCAACCCGCCAAATCCAAGGGCTGCATGAGTCAGGTAGTTGATGATGAAACCCTGCTCGAACGAGACTTCGCGTGGACCTCAGATCAGCAGCAGACCTATTGCTCTTCTTCAACCCAATGTGCTTGAATGCGGTTTTGTGTAAAATGCGGATGGTGAACGGCTCTCTTGGTTTGCCGTTTCAGGGAAGTGTAGGTCGAGTATTATAGGCATTTCTGCGACCGCAACCTAGAGATGCTGTCGACGAGAACCGGTCTACGGCTTCAGTTTCAATAGAGATAGTAGTACACTAGGGAAGAAGAACAAACTGCAACAAAAACTTCATACCTCTTCAAGCGGAGATTTCTCTTGAACCGGAGTCTTCTCATCAGCAGCAGAAATGGGCATACTTCTATTCGTGCAACGACTGCTAACACCAGCTTAGTCTGGGAAATATGAAGATTTCCGTACAGGTTCCCATGCAGTCGGCCCCTGCGGCGAGTTCCACAGAGTTCAATCTGTGCCTGTCCCCTTCAAGCATTATAGCCTGCAAAAGCAATGTCTGGCACGGCGTTGGTGCATAGTATCATCCGGCAGCTTGCATGCGTTTCTTCAGTGCGCAGGCCTCTTTCCGTCGACTTTTCGATTCCTTCCAAGTGGAGGATGCTGGAAAGAGGCGCCGAGATCTACGGGACCGGAAAACTACTGCTGGTGTTGTAGCCGACTATAGGTAAAGACCATTCGCCGCCATACCTCTTCATGCCCACCCCAAGCAGTACCGCCCAGTCAAGTGCATTGGCTCTTGGTTTGCAGAGCCTGGTCCGAGCTTCGAAATGTTGATTTGCCACCGCTGCCGTGATGCATATTGGCCGTTTGAGTACTGCCACTCTGTGTGATTTTCGGACTCTCCGCCATTCGTCAGCCGACCGATTCACATACCCCAAACCTTCACGAGAAATTCTCCGAGTTCTTTTCGGCTTCGCACGGAGGCGGCCGTTGAAGTCTATGCTCTGCGTCTCCGAGGCGAGCCCCTCCGCGCAGGGTCCGCACGAGTTTAGAAGTTAGGGTGGTGTTGGAGCTTCAGGATCTTCAATAAGGCCCAAGGGTGTGTGTGTGTGTGTGGGTGATTTCGATGTTGTGGATTTCTCCGCAATGTCGATACTGTGAACCTCCACCATGCTTCATCGGACGTTTCAGAAACCCTTGGGCTTTTCAGCGAACTCTTCTTCTACGGTCATCACGAGAAGCATCGGGACGCCTAAGCTCAAACTCCGAGTCCTTGCGTGCCCGAGCCCTCCCGCTGGATCCCAGTGTTTTGGCATGGTCAGTGTTTAAGTGTGAAACTCCAACTCCCAAGCTCACAACACCTTATTTACTCACCCGAAAACTCATCAGCTTCCGGAAGTGGCTCCAAAACCTACAGCAAGCCTATGGTATGAATATGACGGCCTATGAAATGTAATCGCCCTTTACCTCACCGAGTCCATAACATTCAGAATCACGTCTAATCTCTAGAATCCTCCTGAGGGCGGTGAGGCGGAAACCTCAAGGTCCCAGCTTACTCCATGGGGTGCTCAGGAGCGCCTGGCTTCCTCCAAGGGTGCTACTGGTCCGGGGCCTGTCCTGTGCTGGTCAAAACCTACTGGTAGGTGATTATAAGAACGGATACATGTACGTCTGCAAGAATTCCCACATCTTCCTCGCATCAACCCTCACTGTGCATGGCTGCCCCAATGCGTGAGGGTGGCACGCAGAAAGAGGTAGGGAGAGGGAGGGAGAGAGAGAGAGAGAGAGACAGAAATAGATCTGGTAGGGTTGAAATGCTGTTTCTTCGGAGCTTCAATGGCCTTTTTGGGAGGACGTGCATAAAGATCATAAAGAACACGATCAGAGGGAGCATCTAGACTTTAGAGCGACCAGCAGCGCAAGAGGAAAGAGAGAGAGAGGGGGGTCGGCCTACAGGTTTGGAGTTTCGAAAGTTGTTGTACAGGATTTTGCCACGGATCGAAGGCTGGAGTCTCAGCAAAACTATACGCTGAAAGCTGCATTCCTCCCAAAGCTCATTAATCACAAGTTCCGAGGGCCCTTCCACCCTTGGGCTTCCAATCATGAAGGCACCTACTATATAAGCTACTAATCAATCAGTTCAGAGCTCGGCTTTGCTTATAGTCTCATGAACATGGCTTAGATCTTGACCAGGGGGCTTGAAGGCTCGGAGCCCACGGAGATGTAAGTTGCTATGATATCGTTTACTTCGGAAAAACCTTCAGATGTTGGAAAGGCGTGGTGCTGAAATCGCTTCTTCCGGTCAGTACCAGCTGCCCATCTGCCCGGACCCATGGCACATCTTTTTTCGGCTCGTTGAACACGGTAGAAGTAGTAGGGGGCCCTTTTGGTCCTAGAAACCATGCCGGCGCCTCAGTCGTCAGGGAGTGGCGCTCGGAGTTCCGGAGGGATGCAGAAACCCCGAGATCATGAAACTCAGAAGGCTCATGAGTTGATGGAAGGCTTGGAGACAGTCTGTCGGGCGAAGGGCTAGCCTTCAGCATGTCGGCGTTCGTCGGGCAGGTTTTGCGGGGAAGTGCGATTGAAAGTTCGGCAAGCCATTTGCAAGTCCGGAGCTACCTCGAGCATAAATGAGTCGACAGTCCAAATTCTGAGCTCCCATCTCTTTTGAGACCAGGCCGCCGAAATTAATGCGGCGAGCGGACACCGTCTATGCCCTGGACGGTGTCGAGGAGTGTGATTCCCTGTGCTGAGTAGTTTCCATTGCCAATTTCTGGTGCAGTTTGTTACAGCCTACTGTGGATGGATGCCTGTTGCTTGCCTTTGCTTTTGAAGCCCTGGATCCCAAGACCCCTTCTCCCCTTTTACAGGAGCAGGAGGAGAGCTCCAGCTCGGAAGAGGAAGCGCCAAGGTCGCTTGAAACACGCTCCTAAAGTTTCGTTGCCACAGGGAGCAACTAATCATACGTTTTTTTTGTTGGATTTATTGGTGTAGGGTTTTACTCTTGGCTTCGGTGTCGCACCATAGGGGCCGAAGCAATTGCTGGAATATTTGGGGGGCTGCAGAAGTCGTTCTCATGCTGAGGTTTTTTGTTGCGGGATCTGGGGTGCTTTGCAAGTTGGTGCCAGGAAGGATGTTCGAATCATGCGGTTGCAGGGCGCAGAACTCATAACTGGGTTTCTCCGGTTCGCTGTGCCCTGATCATCGCTTCGGGTGGAGCACGCATCTGACGGCTACTAGAGGGTTTCTTTCAATGCTTGGCCGTGGTGACGAATCGCACGAAGGCGCGAGGTGCGAGAGTCCATCGTCGACCGAGCCGTGCGCAAGGCCTGCTCATGAAGCCGCAGTGGTTTGGGGTTTCGAGATGCAAGGAGATTCTAAAACCTTAGACCTCACGTTGGTTGTGGCGTCTTTCTGGTAGGGATTACATACTGCCTCGGACCTTCCCTCACTTTCAGTTTGTAGCCGACGAACGAGTTCCCTGCGGTGCGACATAGTCAGCTGGGCGGGTGGGAAAAAAAAAGCCCTCGATCAGGTAGGGGCTTGTCAAACAAAAGCCTTCAAAGCCACCCCAAACCTCAAAGGCCCCCAAGCAGAGCCCAGAGCTCCCAAGTGCAGCGGCGGAAGGCAGCTCTCAAGGGAAAGCTTGAGCCGGAGCTCTGGACCAAGACCTTCTGGTTTAGCCCGGGGGCCCAGAGATTCCTCTGTGGCTCAGGCGTTCAGGGCCTATGAATTTGGGAGTTGGGATGAAGGGTGGGCTGACTTTTTCATGTTCCGGGTTGCTTAAGGATTAAAGCATATGAGGTTCAGAGGTTGAGCTTTAATTGGGGCTCCGGGTTGAAGACTGAGGGTTTGGTCTTCGGCGTTTTGAGAGAGGTCGCAGCTTTATAGTTTAGGGTTTTGGGGTGCGCGGATGTTGTGGTTTAAGGTTTCCCGTTAGATTTCGGGCTTCAGGGACCAGATTCTACATATTTGGCGTCACAGCTTCGGGCCAGTTATGGGTTCTTTTCGGGGCGGCTGTTGTTGAATTCTACAGCTCAGAAAATGGATGGAACAGGGGGAGAAGAAAGGGTATTAGCACGTTGTCGGGGGGGGGGTTACTCTGGCTCCAGATCCCACAGCCTCCAACGTTAATGGGTTCTTGGTTTCGAGTTTGGGGTTGAGGCTCGAGGATACATTTGTCGGTTGCACCGCAGCCTGAGGATTGTACCTGGCAGTCATCGGCATCGTCAATGTGCAGGCGGGCGATGGCGCAAGCGCAGCAGGCTGAAGCCTTCACAGCCTAGGTCATTCGGGAATGTTATTACTATGGCATTTAGGCTTGTGTGCTCGTGGCAGTTCTGGCTCATGAATGAGTACCTGACATTTCAAGGGATCTCGATCCCCTGCCCCTGAACCTGCACACTGCAATTCTTACCTGAATACGTGACTCGTCAGAACACAGATCAGAACAGAGCGGCTAGGTGATGGCGCTGGAAACCGATTTCGGCTGCCAGAGCCCCAGACGGGTTCGTGGAGGTTTAGGGAATGAGGGCTTTCGGTGTAGGGATAAGGCTCCAGGGACGATTTCGGTACTTAGGGATGCGAGTGCGAGGCTTGAAGCTTTGGGCCTTCAGGGCCATGGGACAAGGAGACATGAGCAGACGTGCTGAAAGCTGATAAACTCGGTCTCGTGGCTCACGTTCACTGCATGGGATATCGCGCATGTAAGCCGTCCGCATGTCGGTTCCATGTTGCCTCGACCCCGACGTAGATCCCGCATGTGAGCCGAGGCCATACAAACCACTGCCCGGAGCCTTTGATCGGGATTTGGACGGCAGCATTGGCATGTTGTACACTAAGTCTCGGAGGGGGCGAGGCAGAGGGAAAGGGAGATAGACCTGCAACACACACACACACATCACAAACATCCAAACGTACAGCAACCGCGAACCTTGAGAAAAAAACAACAAGATCTTTTCGCACACTGAACGAACTGAAAGCTCCTACAGTCTGGAAACGAGTGTTACGGCATATAACGTGCATCTGGAGCTTCGAAGAAGGACAAGATCTCAGGTATTAACGGGGCTGAGGCTTCGTTGTTTGAGTGGCTCCCCCTTTGGGATTCCACGGTTGTCACACTACATGTTTGCTTCTTTGTCCCTTCCAGACGTGCGAAAGAGATCCAGGTTCAAAATGGGTTCTGCGGCTGAGGGGTGGTGGAAAGAAAGCCTTGGTTCCTTGCAAACTATTTCAGCCCCTCCTCTACAGACTCTACTGTAGGCCCTAAGACCTAGGCAGTGCTGTTCTCAGTCTTGGAGCCAGGTGATGGAGCAGATCTTGACAGCCACTTTCAGCAATCATGGTTTAGGGTGCGAAGTTTGCGGATGGGGGGAAGGTTAGGCTTTTGCTGGTCATTTTCGGGCAGGAGCCGGCCTTTGCCCACCAAAATACTGCTTGTCTTCTATCAGCCCAAGGCACGACTGTGTTGGCTACACTGTTCATGAAATTCGGAAGCTTGTGAACCAGAAAGGACAGACAGAAAGAGAGCTCCAACACGGTTTCGAGCCGACTTCCCATTCTTCCTGCAGTTTGGAACACGCTATCCAAGCAGAAGGAGGCCGTCACGTCATGCTTCGTCTCCTCAAGATCCTATGTCGGACTGTTTATCTTGAGTCCTGTAACCTCATGTCATGCAATACCCTGCAAGAGGCCTGTTTAATCCTGTTTATCTACCGCCCAGACGTCAAGAAGAACACCTCACACTCCCTCGCCCCGGTCAACCCGACTCACCCAGCGTCGGCAGCATTTCAGCGAGCCCCCAAGCAACTTCGATGCTAAGGGCTTCTTCGTCCTGGACGTAGCCGCCAGGATATGGGAGGTAGGACCGTAGGACACTTTGTCTCACGGTGAAGGGAAAGGCAGATCTGTCCTGGAGATGTATAAGGATTCACCACTGGGCGTTGAGCTATCGGTTGTTTCAAGATCGTTGCTTTAATGCATTCGTGGGGTGATGTTGCAGGGCTCAGCTCTCGCATGATCGAAGTTACAGGTGAATGAAAGACAAAGTGTCAGTCACAATTTTTTCGGGACGCAGGAAACGCGGACGATCTGGTTGAGCTGCATCAGTCTGTACGTCTCCGATCCGTTTCTGCTTTGGGCGAACGTGTTTGCTACGTAGGGCCACCACACGACCCTGATAGAACTCAAACCCCCGAGCCCGTTCATCGAAGCCCAGGTCGACTCACTAACCTTTTGGGCCTGTTCTGCGGCCGTCTGTTCAGGCCAAGCCTAGACGCTTTTTCAAAGGCGACGAGACGAAGGTGCTTGCCTTGGCGGCTTCAGGTTGTGAAAGTGATCGCAGGAGGGCTTTTATTGTTTGCTTTAGTTCAGGGTGTCGGCTTGCAGGCTTCTCGATTCTAGGGTTTTCCTTGATGGTTTGTGGCTCGACGTCTGGTTTCTGCACTAGCAGTAGTCGTCGTCGTCGTCGTCGTCAGTAGCAGCAGCAGGAGGAGGAGGAGTGGTAGTAGTAGCAGTAGGAGTAGCGTAGCAGCAGCAGTAGCAGTCGTCGTCGTCGTCGTAGTAGTCGTAGTAGTAGTAGTAGTAGTAGTAGCAGCAGCAGCAACGGCAGTGTCAGTCGTCGTCATCGTAGTAGTAGCAGCAGCGGTAGCAGCAGGAGCAGCAGCAGGAGCAGCAGCAGTAGAAGTAGCAGTAGCAGTAGCCGTAGCCGTAGCAGTAGCAGGAATAAGTATTAGTAGTACCAGAAGCAGCAGCAGCAGCAGTAGTTGAAGTACCTGCGCTGAACAACATGTGCCGGCTTATTGAGTATGTGTCATCACATCCACTGAATCTTGCTAGCAGAATCCCCGCCCCACACTCACCTTTCTAAGCCCTTCTTCGAGTTCTTGGCCTTGGCCAGGAGAAGTACAAGCTGGACGTGGTGAATTTGTTTGATTTCGCCCAAGCCCCAGGTGGCTATACTCCCATGGTACTAAGGATGGCGCTGGTATGGCAGATCCCAAGGCCTGAGTAGGATCCTTATCATTACCCAGAATTTCTGGAAGCCCCCCATGTTGATTCTGCTTGTCAGTTTTCTTTTCCTTCCAAATGTACGTTGTTGGCTAAGGTCATTGTGGTGTTAAGGGCCTTCGACCTCTGGTTACTCACGCCCTTGGGCCGGACGGAGTCCGGGCTGAAGTTCCCCAGCGTCTTCAGGACGCAACTCATGTCTTCTCAGGGCTTCAAAAAGGGGTTTGCGTTGTGTTGTGTTCTAGGTGTGGAGCTCGTTCGTTCTGTTTTCACAACGCCGCCAACAAAGGGAGAGTCTGGAACGCCGTGGTCCTTCATCTGCAGGTTACCGTATGAACATGCATTGTCCGCTCTCGCGATGCACAGGTGCATAAGCTCGGGCTCAACTGTGTGTTAGATGCTAGTGAGGGCTTACGAGTGGGAACCGTAAACGTTCCGTCTGTTAAGACTTCAAGAGTCACAGGTTTGTGGTGTTCGGGCAGTTAGGATTTTGCACTTTGCCGTGTCATGCGGTATTCACGGCTTGATTTGAGGCCATGTAGGTTCTATATACTTAATCCCACAATTTTGAATGCTGTACCCCTAAACCAGTTCGCGCCGGTGTCAACTCCCTAGAGACCAAGAGCCTCGTCTGGCTGTTGCCGATTGCGAGACCGCAAACTGTAGTCATGAGCACCTCAACAGTGCTCCACCATGCAGCAGAATCTGGGATTGAGCTCTCCTCGAACCGAATTTCGCCATACATAAAGCAGCCGTGCTTCCCCTGGAGGATCATGCACATTAGTACGTTCGTCCACGAGATTCAATTGTGGAAGGGCTTCCGTGAGTCGCATCAGCTGCATTGGCTTGAGTTTGCGTTGTCAGAGTTACCTTCAGTAGGTTGCTCATGATGCTTGACATGGAGGGCTCGAGGTGAAGGACTTGGGCTCCTGCCAGAGAAGGTTACCTGACGTTCAGGAGGTGGGTTCTCGAAGCGATACGCCGGCTGGGAGTTTTTTTCCTGGTGCGCGCAGATCATTCTGGAAAGGTCTGGGCCTGGGTTTCATTCCGTCAAGTTCCCCAAACCCGGGTCGCTGAATTCTGCAGACCCGAGACACTCATTGTGAAGAGTGTTAGCTGTTAGGATAAATGTCAGGCAGATAACGGAGAATGCCTCTCGCTTCGGTCGTGTTGTAACAGTATGTTCGAATCTTCCACGAAGGGTGGATTTCCACAGCCTGTTCGCCAAACATTGGGAGCGTCTGCATAGAGAGTGGGAAGCCACCAGAGCCCACCTATCTGACCAAGGTATTAATTATGAACCCCTCAGTGGCTAGCGGCTATCGGGTACTTGTTCCTACCCTGTGGCCATGCCGCGGCATCTCAAGGATCCTAAACTTCGGGTACTGATCATTCTCAGGCTGTGGATCGTCATTTCCTTGCTGCGAGAGACGTTGCTGACGTTGTTGTGTCTTGCTGACACTTTGGGTGGCGGAAGGGGTTCGTCTTAAATGGGAGTTAGTTCCACCCTTAACAGAGTAGTCTTGGGCAAGAGATTAGCCTCGAGGATTGCACCGGGGCTCTGGCCGCCACACCCCATGTTTGCGAGAATCCTAGAGCTGCAATGGTTGTCAAACTCCGCCACTCGTTTTCTACATTCCCGCCTGCCTCGTGGCCTTGCTGATACTTTCAGCAGTCGAGCATCACCGAAACCCACTTGAACATCTCGAAGCTAAACTTAGGGAACACCCAGTCTAGTGGTAGGTCATCGGAACTAAATCCTGAATTCTATGAACCCTATAAACCTTCTTGCTTTGGGCTTCGGTGTGCTGCACGGTGGTACGGACCTTATAATTAGTCGAAGTGGCGGCCTACAGTCGGAATTTCAATCCTGTTTATGCTTTTCTTGTGGAAAAGGGATGATGATCGCATACGTTCTGTGTATGTGCCTGCTGCAGTGCACGGTGCAACATGCTATTGTGCAGGCTTTCCACACTGGCCGCACTAGATCAAGTCGCCACATAGTTAATCGTCCTCCAGCTCCCCCCCTTCCAGACGCAAAACTCCAACAGTCTCAATTTGTTTGATTTGGTTGTAGTTCGTGGATGGGTATTCTTAAGTTATCATGCTTCTTGGCTTAACTGGCGCAGGGCTTCAGGCATTGATTGGTCAGCACAGTCTTCAAAGTTCCCAGGGTCGAGATGCCCCAAGCCACTTGAGGCAGACATCCAGAACGTGACAGCCTTGACCCCAAAGCCCGTACTCATAGACGCTTCTATGTGGAAAACAACTGCGGGCTACACTAGACTTTATAGCTTCATTAACCCTGAACCCCATCCAGTTGGTGCGGATTCCTCATCGTTGGCACCACCTGGGTCATCTCCGTGCTGATTACCATCTCGGTTCTGACCGATCCCAAGCTGGACCCCCCACCGGGCTTTGCTGCTTCAGGGGTTTGGGGAGGTTAAGGTTTCCGGGATTTGGGGTTCATGCACGCTCCACTGAGCGGTGTCATGTGTCTAGGTTTTTGGATGCTTGGTCGCCTCAACCATCTTCCCAACCACATCGGCACGCTGGGTGGCGACTCGTGGCAAGTTTCGGCAGTGCAGACTTAGAGGCACCTTGCGAAACATAAACCCAAGTACTTCTCAAAATGATTTTCACTTTCGCTGGCAATGTCATGATTGGGGTTGTGCAGCCTGTTGCTATTCTCATATGTTGGCCTCGTGCGCGCGTGTATGCGCGCATGTGTGTGTGTGTATGTTTTTGTGTGGTTGCGTTTGTGTTCGTGTGCGCACCTCTCCCTCTCTCTCTCTCTCTCTGTATGTGTGTGTATGCGTGTGCGTGCGTCTGTCTGTCTGTCTGTCTGTCTGTGTTCTGGTGCGCATGTGGGTGTGTGCGACGCCCGACGAGCCAGTTAGATGCAAGAAAGAAGCATGAAATCGTGGACGGCGTCAAAAAGCCCTCAATCCCACAATGAAGCCCCGACGGTCCCGGCGCCCCAACAAATCACGCAAACTAGTACCCCATGGTGCGGAAAGGACTTCGACCTTAGCCGAAGCGTCTGGACCAAAGAGGACTACTGGGGCTCCGTAGGCCGGCCGGGGCTTTGCTGGTGCCTTTGGTTTGGTCATCCTTTCAATCAATGTTTCGGACAGTCCTCTACGTTTCTTCTCGGATGTATGCGGATGGGCGGAGAAGTTTGCAGCAATGCGTCGATACGGATACTCAACGGGCCAAGTATCACCTCGCACCCCTGAAGATCGGAATTCGGACACCGTCAGGTTGTTGGGGTCTGACTGTTTGACGCTTCAGGATACATCGCTGTGCGGGTTGATTGCAAAAACCAGACACACCGAGGATTAAGAGAACGAGTCCTTCAGTTATGGGGATGTAATGAAAAGATAAAAAACACAAACAAAAAGCAAGCAGAGAACAACAAAAAACAACAAACAGGCAAATCAGGCCAGCAGGCCAAAACACAAATAGAAACAACAAGAAAACAAAAAAGAAGCTGGTTGCTGCTCGTTGTTCCATATTGGTGCGGGCCTTGTTTACAGTGGCTCCTTATCTATGAGTCTAGAGTCTAAGGCAAGTTTATGGCATAGTGACACTGACATGGTAGGCATCATGTCGTGCTGTGCACCTCGTGACCTCGTGACTTTGTCACGTCTTTCTACGATCGCTTCAAGCAAGCCTCCTCAGTCTCCGCTGGGTCTTAAGCGCTGCAGTGGTCGGAGGAACGCGGCATGAGTTTGACACACATCCCGAAAAAAATCATCTTTGTAATGCTGTCCTGAATCATGAATGTAAAGAATACTTGTGACTTCTTGGTATGAAGACGATTGACGTCAGTCTCGGGAAGTCGCCTGTGTCTGGACTTCTTGATCGCAGACCTCGGTTTTTTGATGTTTGGGGCATTGCAGGCCGTCCCGCTGTGTTTATGAGTTCGTATTTCATTGTTTACGTTCAGTTGTTTGGTTTGAGGTAAGGTAACCAGTTGAACCGTGTGCGGTTACTGTAATTAGTACTTAATATTTGACTTGCTCCTCTCCCCTTCTTGCACTGCCAAGTGCTGGGTTTTATTGCTTTTTTAGTCTTTCGCAGAAGCCCTGATAAGGTTTCCTTGGATTTCGGAGGCCCCCCCTGTCTCAAGTGTTGCTGGTTGTTTGCTTTTTGTTTTTTTTTTTTCTGTCCTTTCTTATTTGTTGTGTTTTGAAACCTTTTCCTTGATTTCCAGTATCTCCAACAGTTTCGGGCTCTTGAACCTAGGACCTAGGACCGGGGATTCTGCACTTGCACTTTACTGGGTGTACTGTTACACGGCAAGCGTTGATCTTCGGATGTCTGAAGCCTATGTGGGCCTATATCCGACTAAGCACCATTGGATCTTGTGCTTGCAGTAAGAATACAGAATCCATCAAAGTCCTAAATTTGTGAAGCCTGCGAACCTGTAAGGCTTTAATTAGTGCTCGTGACAGCCGCCACTGAACAAAGCGCCTTTGAAGCCCGATAAGACCACACCCTGTGCTCTGTCGACAGGTAGAACGGTTCCGCGGCTGCAGTTCATTCGGAGACACTCGTGCTGGTCCAGCTTTTCCTTTTTTTCAACATTCCAGCATAGACAGACCAACAAAATTAAATAGATAGACATACACAGACCAGCCTCCCACTTATACAACATACATGCGCACACGTACAGGCGTGTTCGGAGAATGTCTCTATATATGTATATATATACATACACACACGACCTATGTATCTATCCATTCATCGGTCTATCTACACCTCATGTGTGTACATATATCATATATATATATAATTATATTTATATTTATACTTATATTTATATATATTTATATATACATATACAGATGTATATGTATATGTACATGTATATGTGCCCATCTATATGTACATCCACACATACATGCATAATTACATACCGACCGACCGACCTACCTACCTACTTACCTACTAACCTATTTTCCTACTATCCTGCTAACCTAACCTAACCTTGCCTATTACCTATTACCTATTACCTCTTACCTCTTACCTCACCTTACATTCATACGTACATACATACATACAAATATGGTGCAGCATTCTTGAAGGAACAGCAGACAGGCAACCGATGGAAGGCAATTTTGCAGATACCAACAACTGCAAGTAGCTGTACACGATGGGTAGGATGGCATTCCTTTTTACTGCCTCCGCCTCCAACTGCCACATCTCGCTTGTTTGTGTTTGTGTTGATTGTGGCGTTGCCTTGGAATACAACCTACGGCACGGCAGACTGTAGAATGCTCAGTCTTGAGGTCATCACGATGTTCCAAGTCCTCCTGCGCGACAAGTGGGCCGACTCCATTGTATGGCCGATGGTTCAGAATGACCGCGGGTCGGGGTTTTTCGGTACGGGAGTTGCGAGTTTTGGTCGTCAGGCTCGGAGTCCTTCAGTTCCAGTCAGACCGTCCTTTGCAGTGTGGCGGCTGTAGCATCGCGGGTTTCAGCCAAAGCATTTTCTCATTTGGCATCAGTTTACTGTGTCAGGATCAGCTCAGCCTATTGGCCTATGGGTTTCAATTCTGAGAACCTGTGAAAGCATGGAGCACAAGACGGGTTTGCAACGATGCGTAGCACAGGTGCAAGGAAAGCCTGTAACTTCTGTCGGCTGTGCGGAGGCTGGCACTTTGTAAAGTCGGCTTGCCCTCATTGGATGGCTACGGTTCGTTTCGTTACTTCCAGTGGCCCCTGCAAGGACCCGATAGTTGTCCGGCGCTCAGACCTGCAGCATCCAACTAGATCTATGTCTTCGCCATGTAGTCGCGGTACCAATCCCGCTTTCCAGTACTGGAGATGTACTCGGTTTTGGCGGTGTCGCCAACCCCTGCTGCGTGCTGATGTCCAGATAGGGACAGCTTAGATTAAATACTAAAGAATAGCTGCCAGACGAGATAGATCGCAAATCGAGCCGTTTCCAGAAGGGCGGCGAAGCTGTCTCGCACGGTCGCATGCTTGTTTCTGTCTGAGCACAGGCGCAGTCTGGCGATGATATGCAAACCGGAATCGGAGAAGATGGGAGATGAGAGACTAGACCAGAGCGAGTCACAGGAACCTACCCCGAATTGCGCGAGTCATCAACACCAATCAGAAAGCCCCATTTGGAATATGGCCAGAGTAGGATTTCATGCGGAACCATCCAAACTTTCTGAACTTTGAGCCGTGCAGATGCTGATCTTCGCGGTCTTCTACTGCGTTGTGGTTCTTGCACTTATGACTCTTGGCCAAACAGCATTTTCGCTACAGCCTTGCACTGTTTAAAGGTGACTCAGTGTCGAAGATTGTATTGTGAGGATTAGTTGGCCTGCAGTGGGGCATTAATGATGTGAGCACCGAGAGCCCTGCACAGAATCACCAAGACTGGCTGGTGAGAAACAACAGTCGCAGCTAAGTGAATCTTGGCTCTTCGGGATCCGGTGAAAATTTGGCTTTCTTAAGAAGTTTGACAAGGCTGCAGATCCCAAAAGTAAGTGCAAGGCTTCTGGTATGTTTCAAAGTAAGCTTTGAAGCTTTACGTGTCCCGACTCCCATTCCACAAGTTGCTGCAGAAAAACCAGAGTTCCTTCTAAATTGCCTACCGATAACGTTGGAGAATGGAGAAGGGACTGGACAAAGCAGTCGGACGATTCCTAGACGAAAGGTGGCCAAGCTAATTCTGCTTTGGCCTGTCAAGCCCTCTGAGCGCATGTGCAAGGAACAACGTCACCGGTGTGGTCGTTGCTGGTGCCTCAGGTTATTCTGCACCTGCTGCATGAGGCTTTATGAATCATGCGCAGTAGGCAGATGCAAAGCCTAGTAGATTTAGCAGCATGTTCATGGCATGCGTGGGGCCATGTTTTCCGACCGTTGTACGGTTGTGGTTCTGTGGGTGGAACGTGTCGCATCAAGCTGAGGAGTGCGCCATGGAGGCGTCAACCCTTTGCGGCGAGCTCTATCAGAAGGAGCAGGAGCGTGGCCGATCCACCAACTGGGATAGCGGGATGTGCTGGCGATGCCAAGTCACTTCGATCGTGTGAAGCGAGTGCTTCTGGAACATGTTGTTCGTTGCTACTTTGTCTGATATTTCAATGTATGCTGAAGTTATTGCTTGACCGCCGCCGTTTGCAGGGGCCTAGCTTGTATAGTGGGGTGTTCTGCTCAGTTGCCATGCACGGCCGACGGCGCTCGTGGACATGCTTGGTAGCACTGGCCCTTTTTGGCTTGGGAGTGGGTCGTTCTTTCGCTGGTGGCCGCATGCCGTTGCGGACAGCGAGGACTTGCTTGGAGCATGGGCCACCTCGGGATAGTGGCGACGAGCTCGGGGACCGAAAACTTCGCTTTGGAAAGCACAAAGGGAAGAGCTTCCGCGAAGTTGCTAAGAATAAATACTACGTAAACTGGTGCAAGCAGAAGCTGTCCAGAGAAGATGAACTTTACAAAGACTGGCTGGACTATGTCGCGGGAAAGCGGTCCGCTTCTGTCCGATCGTCACAGAAGGCACAGCCTCGAAGCGTGGAAGCTCCTCCTGCCAGCTCGGCCCCGTGCCTGCAAACCAAGTGCCCTCGGACTAGGCTAGGTTCTCCCGGCTTGAACGGGATTTGGGGGGCTTCGGGCTTTTGGAGTTGTAACTTTAACGTCGGGTGGACATGTACGGAGGAAAACAGGGGGCTGCCTTACACTGACAGCAACCTCTTTGATTTTGAGACGAAGCCCGTCAACTGCGAATGGCAATCCCAGCAGCAAGTTTTGATACCCAGTGGACTAATTACATAGCACCCATCAGGCCAAGCACACTTTGCAAAGTTCGTGCCCTGAACTCATTGTGTTTGCGCACCTGACACAGGCTTACAGGTCTCAGAGACGTTTCGTTTGCATGGGGGTAGCAATCCCTGATCCCCCCTTTCCCCGCCCAGGTCAGCGCGTTGCCCTCGAGGACTGCCTCTCTCCAGAGCCCATCAGAGGAGGCCCGGCTCCAGAGCAGGGCAGCTCCTGGTGCCCCTGCCCTTTGCCTGCTCATCTTGTATGATGGGGCACATCTGTCTACGGTTTATGTGCCGCTTCGGTTCAGGAACCTAGAACACTAAGACCTTTGACTGCCCTGCCCCCTGGGCGATTATGACGCGCTGTTAACGACAAGGTCCACCGAACAACTGGACGGCACAAGGTGGCCCGAGGCTAAGGGCACAACTCGACGGATGTCGAAAACCGTGGGGAAACGAAACACGAGCGAAGCGTGGGAAAGATGTGAGCACATTGGTCTTGTCCTGAAGCCTTTCCCAAACCGAAAGTCTGACTGTTGAAGTACAAATCCGTTTTTACTAGTCGCTTGTGGTTCTTAAGTTCTTTCTCATTATTCTTTTCCGAAACAGCACCCTAACCTAACCCTTCAATCCTCACCCGAGAGTTCTGCAGATCTCGACAGATGCTGAGGCGACGTCGGGGAGACGCCAGTCAGCGAGGCTTTGGAATCCCATATTCAGAACAGCCTTGTTGGCCTTCAGACCATCAATCGCTGATATGCAGGGTTTATGGACATTTCCGGATGTCTGGACGTTGAGACTGTTGGGTTTGATGTCCGGCTTGGGGTTCTCTCTCTTGTGAAATGCTGCTGATGAACGCTGCGCCTGCATATGGGTCAAGCCCTTTCGAGGATGTGCCGATGTGCTTCCGGAGTTGTCTCGAAGCATCGGGGCTTGGAAACATTTCAGGGTTCTTCAAGCTTGGTTGCACCTTCTTGTAGTACACACATCATGTTGCTCGTGGCAGCCATGAGTAGTCCGGCTCACCTGCGACACCATCTGCAACCAACCCGCTAAACCCCGATCCGGCCCCTTCCTGAGCCGCTGAAGCTCGCGACCCCTGTAGTAATCCCTATAAGCGCCTAAGTCTGCTAAGTCAGATCCTCCGAACCCAACCCCGCACAGACACCGAGCCTCTGCACCCGTAACGTAGGGGCCTTAATGAATGAGAACAGGGTTTTGAGACCCATTTTATGCAATTATAAGAAGGAGCTACCCAAAAAATAGTGTAGGTAGTTTATAAAGGCCCCGATATTAATTCAAGCCTGTTTCCAGCAGGCCCAGGCCTTCTCAGGCGCCCCTCCAGGTCAAAGGTGCCTCGGCAAGTCTTCGGCAAGTCTCTCACCTTCGCTTCCTGTTCGCATGACCTCGTCAAGCTTTCCTCTAAGGACCAAACTCAGATATCTTCGAGTTACCCAGAGGCCTCCTCGAAGGCTACCAGTGCCTCGCCTTCTTGCATTTTTATGTAATTCTGCTCGGTGTTCGAGCTGCTGGAGTTCAGGGTTCCGACTGCGAAGCTTGACAATCGATGCATGCAGTGAACAGTTCTAAATCCTTCACCCCGGTGCCCTGCTCGGACGTTTTGACTTTTTTAGCGACGCCTTCACACTCCAGGGAACACACAAACAAAGCGTATCTAGCAGAGCAAACTTACGCATGCCCGAGCTCTGGGCAAACCCTCATGCACACTCGCCCAAGGCGAACGAAGTACAGACGGCGTTAGCCCTGTGAGCCCTGTATTCGACTCTTGTAGCATGTTCAGTTGCTACATTCCTGCATCCTAAACGTTGCATTTCCCAAACCGGTCCCCCAAAGCTCTTAAACACCTGAGCTTTGGTTGTTGGAGTTGGTTTTACAATTAGTTGGATGGGTACAGGCTGAGCTTGACTTGGTAACTCGTCATCGCAACTCGTTAACAAACAAGAACTCCATATCCCGAGCATGAGCCCCTCTAGGAGCCCTAATCGGCGAAAGAACGGGGGGAACCTCGAGGCTCTGGTCATGCAAGGGCAAAGCCGAACCGCCTGACGGGAAAACACCCTGGGCCTTCAGCTACCACGACGGAGCCTCCGGCATCCCTTCAGCCTTCCTTCATTGGGCTTGAATGAGATCTGTTTGGTGGCGTCGAAAGGCAGAGAAGTTAGAAATAAGGGTGCCTTGCCCAGCTTTTTCTGTGCTACCCCGAACTTCCGGTGTTTCGGCGTGGCGACGTGTGCTCCGGGTCTGCAGGGCGGCTTGGGGGCTTTGTAAGCAAAAGAAGGGCGAAGCAGAATGCACAGTCAGGCAGAGTGCGGAGGTTTATGTGCGTCGTTCTGCATGGATCTAGCAGCTAGCAGCTTTGTCTCGCTGCTCACGTTCTGGACCTCCACGCTGTTGAATGAAGTCTTCAGTGCTGATTGATTGGTCTGGTCTGCATCAATGACGTCTGCAAATAATATTTTGCTTAATTAAGGTCATAGATTCATAGATCTGCAGTCTGCTTTCCCTGCTGAAACAGAGCTAGGATGGACTTACGTTGGACGTGTCCGGCTTGGACGGAAACTCGTGCTGAACCTGAAGGACTGACTTAGGAGGCAAGGTTCATCCCGGGCTCGTTTCTCATGTACCACTGAGCAAGAGAGATCATGTTTTGGATGCAGACAGGCTCAAACCCGATTAGTTCATGGTGTCAATCAACTATGCAACCCGAAACCCGGACCCAAGCGGGAAACGCTACCACACGCTTGACAACGGGTCAGTTCATCTTCCGAAGGCCACAATACAAAGCCTTCAACACTCCTCCCCCCAACTCCCCCCAAACTCGACGACGCACCCGAATCGTTTGTTGACATCAAGAGTATCACCATAACCATTACACATCGTTCTTTCTACCTCCATCTATCCATGTATCCATCTATCCATCCATCCATCAATCCATCTATCTGTCAGTCTATCTATCCACCGACAAATCGACCTATTATCGACGTATCGACCTACCGATCTATGGATCTGCCCATCGATCCATTGATCGACCGACCTATCTGTCTACTTCCCATCTACCCATCTACGACCCTTCCATCCGTCCATCCATTCATCCAGTGCACATAAAGCAACACTTGAACTTTCGGCTCGAAACAGACGGCTCCAGACCTCTCGGTGAAATCAAGGCTTGCATTCTAAGGCATTGAAGACCTTTTTGATGCTTCCTTGCTCATTTTGAGCCCCAGTCTGCAGAAACAGGCTCATCCCTGACACCCCTCCCCTCNNCCCCCCCCCCCCTAAAAAAAAAAAGAGGGCGTGCCACTGTGAAGGCCAGCGTTTGTCGATTAAAGGCAGCTTTTTTCCACAAGATTTCAAGATAATTCACGTCCACGTAGTATGTGACGAGTCATGAGACTGTATCACATGAACCAAACCAGCGGAAACATTCGTGTTATCGTGTCCGGCCAGAGAAGTTTCGGGGCCGGGGGCCCAGACCTGCCAAGAACCAAGTGGTTGAAGCCTCCTGCCTAAACGCCATTCGATACTTAAGCTGGAACCTCTTATCCCTGAGGAGCATCATTGCACAGGTGTATGTATGACTGTATGTACATATATTCGACGCAAAATTATCTACATATATGTATATATATATGTATAGATATTATATGTATACAGCTCTCGAGTGCCCAAAATACCTAGAGGCAAGGATATTACAGTTCACATCTGAAGTCAATAAGACTGCTCCAAATATGGAGACCATAATGTGTTCCCCGGTCACAAGGTGACTGGCGTGCCAACAAATGATTTGCTCATGCACGTATATGCGTGCGCATGCGTTCTGGCATGCATATACCCAACCCTTTAATGCGGGACGTGATCCTATGTTGCCTGCCTCTTGTGGTGGCCGCTGAGCAGAATATCAGTGGACACGGGCAAGCCCATGCCAATATTCGCTATCGCCATGCAGCAGTCATCATGGGACACCCCCGCCATTTGCACCAGATCCCCCCCGCATGCTTTCAATGTAAACGGAGCTTCATTTGCGATATATGGCAATGTCTCCGTTTAGCAGGAGAATCTCTCCAACATTACATGACTGTCACATCGAGCGACAGAGGCTCTAAAACATGCTGCCGGCTTGATATGGCTCAAGATGTGAAATGTTATGAAAACGTACACATTGGTACGGAAATGGTCTTTAATACGAAATCTGCTTTTCATACAGTGTCACCGCAGCCATTAATAATTTAACTTTGTAACTTGTAGTTTAAAATGTCAACGTTACTGGATTCATTAAGTGTCCGATGACATGAGTCTTGTACATCATCACTTGGCTGATTTGCAACATTTATTATGTCATGCATTTGCATAGAATACATACTCCCTTGTAGCGGAGGTGTGAATGGGTCTGAGGCGCGAAGTTCAAATCATGTGGTCCTTAGCCGGTCCCCAACCACAAATATGCAGCTAGCTATGGCCTCGCCGGGGGAATTCTGGAGGGGGGGCGCCAACCAAAAAAAAACTGGAATAATTGCGTCTGTTTTGTTGTTTGTAATTCTGTCTTCCCCGCATCTAACCACTATAGACCCTCTGAACCTCGCCCTTAAGATCACAGGAGTGCCTGATCATTAGATGTTGATCAAATGTTACCCTTATCACGAGTAATCCTGTAAGGTAGCCCTGCCGTGATTAGGTACTAAAGCAGTGTTCGTATTGTACACGGATGGCCCTTTCTGAAAAAGATACATGTATATGTGCATAAAAATAAATAATTGAACCCGAATCAGCACAACGCGTTGAACTACGAAATCACGGAAGGGCTAACTCCGAGTTCGATCCCGTGCCGGAGGTCATCATGTCTTAGGTTGAGGGCTGAAGTTTGCAAGTGAAGACGACTCGAAGACCTTATGAGATGATGCAAAATAGTTTAACATCATATCATAGAGTCAAGCCCCGGATGCCCCTTGTTGAGCTCCCCGTGGGGTTACAGGACCCGTCAGCTCGGCGGGGCGGCGACTGTGAGCCGATTGTTGAATCCGACCTGACCGAGGAAGTCTCCCGATTTCATTGGGAAAATGCAAGGATTGTTTGCCAAAGTTTGCGCTCTGCTACGGTTAAACCCGAGCATTTGGATTTTTCAGGGGGTTTGAGGCGACGTGAGCGAGGTTCAGATGAACTTATTGCGCCTCAACAGCGGTTAGCTTTTGCAGCGGCTCTGGTAGCAATGCTACGGATATATTCGGATTCTTAGATGTGTGGTTCTGAGGCCCATGGAATCCATGAGCCCCAGAACCGAGGGCGAGACATCCCTGCTAGTCCACCAGTGGTTCAAGCACGGAAGTATACTGCGAACTACTGGAGAGAGAGAGAGAGAGAGAGCGAGCGAGACAGAGAGATGAAAAAAACAAGAAAAACATATAATATATGCATTTATATATATATATATATGTATTGTATATATATATATATGTATATGTGTGTATGTGCGCGTGTTCACTTTTTATTTATTTATTTATTTTGGCAGTTACTTGCTGACTTTGTTGTTAGTACTATTGTTGTTTGTGTTTTGCTATTCTTGTTAAAACCTTAGACCGCCTCCCTAGCTATTCTTGTTAAAACCTTAGACCGCCTCCCTAGACGTCGACTTCCAAGCCCGGAAATGGGCCCCAGGGGCTCACAAGAAAGACACAGAGTTCCACAAGCCTAGACTCCTTAAGCCGTCCACCGTGACTGCCAAGGAGTATGCGAGATTTCTTTGTGCTTTGTTGGAGCTGGAGCCGTCACCTGGTTCACGCCTTCAACTCGCTTTAAACCGCTAAATGCAAAGGGCTGTGCCAGAAGTTTGGATGTGAAGAGCAGCACCCTGAAATGAGCCCGGGCAGCCACACGAATCAAGGGTTTAGGGTTTTGGGGTTTATAGGGTTCAAGGTTAATGGCCTCAGATCCAAATCATTCACTGTCGGATCTTGCAGGTTTTCAGGTGGTGGAAGTTGATGTGTCAGGGTATGATATGTCAGTTCTGGAATTGTGTCCTCGGACTCTGAACCTTTCAGGCCCTAAGCTGGCGACAGAATGTGAGCTCCGTGTGCTCATAACTGCAAATTTTGGGGGTTCAGACTTATACGCGTTGTTGCAGAGTGTACATTACATCGTGGCGGTTGTGGCACTGCCCCCTGCAACCCTGAACGGCCCCAATTGCCAGGTCAGGAAGTGCCCCTGTACCCATGCTGAGGCCGTAGTGAGTCGTTAGCCGGAGCATTGACAAGTCTTGCTTGTCTTGGAGTAGCACCACCCGCTATGCTCGTTCTGAGATTGTGTTTCATGCAGGAGGGGAGAAACGACATGGCCGCCGCCCGCAAGGCGGGCCAGTCGGTTGACAGACGGACACCGACCCAGACATAGACGGCATTGGACGAAAGGTTTGGCTCCGATAACGCGATCCACCTGTATCTGCTTCTGAGAGTTGCAAAAGTTATCGAGCTTACTACGGCAGACCGTTGCTCAAATAGTCGCATCTCTACGACAAGGGGCCTTGATTCGATCAAAGACCTCGACTCTCAGCAGCCCCGTGCAATTGTGACAATAGTACAGCCAACATCTGGGTTACTATAAATGGTGCCAGTAAGTTTGTGCTGCAACCACTCGCCTGGACCAACTTGTAACGAGCCTTTCAGACCACGCCCCAATAAAGCACTCGGAGAGATGCTGCCGACCCCAGCCTCGAAACCCAGAAGCTGTGCAGCGAAATGCAGTCTGGGATTTCTGCTTGGACACGGCTCCCAAACATTCAAGAAGAGCCACAAAGAGAAGGGTAATTAAGGGTAAATTTGTGCAGGCAGCAAGTGTCCTTTCTTTTGTAGTTGCAGTGGCCAGGTCAACCACCAGGGAGCACGCTTCGAGGCACTGCCGAAGTGCCTTGGCGGCCAGGGCCTGGCCTATTTCGCATCTGACACTAAAATTTGAGCGGCGAGCGTTGACAGTTTGACATCTGTCTGGTATCACCAACGGGGGCCGAAGCCACTAATTACCTGAATTGCAGTGGCAGTCCGGAACATCGACAAGGTGTCCGTCTTGTATAGGGTGCTGCTTCTGCAGAACCCCCCTTTGTCTCAGCTTGTATGCCTCGGCGCTGCATTACAAAGTCGATCTCAAAAAGTTGAAATGCGCAAATTCCGGAGAATACTACGCAGCAGGTCTGCAAGTTTTTGGAATTCGTTCGCTCTACGCATGTTGTAAAGCACTTCAACCGAAGCGGAAGCTTACAGCTACACTACGGAGTGGATGCTGGAAGGTACCACTTTCGTGGCATCGTCCCGTTTGGCGGGAAAGCGCACATTGCAGCATCGCTCGATCAGGCGGGAACGTTGGACTTAGACCCTTAAACCGTAAGGTCCTAAGCCCTGAACCCTACAGCTCGCGGAAGCCCAGACTTCCTCCCCCTTGCGGTGCTGCAACTTATCTTCCTAGGTGCTTGGTGAGTTAAAAATCATGGTACCATCAGGGTTGAGACGTTTGCCTAGCATTTCTAGTGTAGGATGCTTCGTCAATGTATGACTTGCTACTATATCGAAGCAGAGTTTGTTAGCACCGTGGAACCGTGTTTGTAGCATGTTATCACCTAGAACTTAAGCAAGGATTGTAGGTTTTTGTGGCATCTCCTCGTCTTATCGCAGATTCTGGAGCGCACTGGTGTTTCGGTGCGGGTTTATGGTCTCTATCAAGACGACCACTGCAAGGTATACACCTCTCAATTATCAGAACGCAGACGAACTCAAAAACGAGACTTGCTTTGCAAGCTTGACAGCCCATATCGCATGCTGTCTTCCTGAGCAGGAGCTCTATGCCCCGGAGGACCGGGCAGATTGGGGTTTGCACAAGGTAGCTTACGGGCTGATGGTTTTCGGTGTCACAGCCACTCGGCCGGGAGTTTCATCACTTAAAGCTGGGGCCAAACCCCGCAACGGACGCTTGTTGCAACTGTTCTGTGGCCAATTCCGAAGCTCCTGCAGACTGAGTAGCCTAGAAAATATGAACATCAGAACCGATCGGGTCGTCCTCAACAACCTGAGGCGGGGTTCGCGGAGCAGTGTTATAATAGAAGCTCGCCTGTGATGCGATCCTAACCGCTCGATGCTGTGTGTGAAGACCGGGCAGAAGAAGGCACCAACCAAAAGCCACTGCTCGAAGCCCCCCATTTTTGTCGAGTCAGTGTTTAGTAATGACCTGCTCTGACTTCAGGAGAGGAATCTGGGTGGTCAGGGGCGAACAGCCATGGCTTCCTTGGTTGGTCTCAAGGCTGGCAACAGCTTAGTTGGGGGACCTGAATAACTCGAATCGAGTTTTGGCTTGGTCTATTATGATAAACCGACCACAAGGAACCCTAAGGATCATTGTAATTGTTCAGGCTCTAGACCATAATCTGCGGGCCTGAAGACTTTGAATCGTGTTTGGGTGTCCCGTACATGAAGATATACATGTGTATAGGGACTACCAGAAGACATGATTCACAAACTGCCCGAACCTCCATTGCAAAAGGAAGCCCGAAGTCCGACTGCTCCGGGAAAGCCTCGATCCCCAATGCTTCCTCCTGATTTCTTTCGCTCTTTGAGGGTTTAGGATGTATCTATCGGTTTGGCACCTACTAGAAACTTGAATCAAGCCAGGCCCAGTCGTGCGAAGCTGGCTTCTATCGTGCGTGAAAGGTGCGTCCTCTTGGGCCTGCACAGTCCTGGTTCACTGGCTTGGTGATCTGCGTCTCGCCTTGAAAGAACGGGTGTTTTTCGTTTCGGAGCGGTTGGTGGGGGTTCCTGTGTTCGCAGGCTTGTCTGCAGTATAAATAGTTTTTGATTCTACCAAGTGCTGATGCAGCCGCCGATCATCATAGCCCTCAACCTGACCTGGCAAGCTGAGGGTTTGCAGGGTCATCTGCAAGGCTCGAGCACTGTAAGCTTTGGCGTTTTGTCCGTAACACGCCTCGCAGCAGAGGTCGGGAGATTGTCAGCTGTCAGTCTCTGGAAGCGGTGTTGCAGCGCAAACCCAAGGGACTTACAAGCTAGGCTCATGTGCTTCTTTGCCTGCGGCAAACATTCGTGCAATGGTGTTTCTCATCTCAGGTGAGCCGGAAGACAGAAACAACATCACTCTGACCCCGAGCATTCAGCAGAACCTCCTGCAGATGACGAAAACACCGAAGGTGTATGATGCAACGGCCAAGGCCTGAATGTGAGACCGGCTGAGTTGAATAGTATTTTGGATTGCGACGACATGGACAGTAGCGACGACTTGTCTCGCTCACGATGGTCATGATTGCCGAAATGTTTGGCTGTGGCATCCTTACCGACACCACTTGTGATAGAACTGTCAGAAGCAATGCCAGCGGTGTTCTTCAATACAAGCGTTTGTCACGGGCGCCCTGACAGTACTTCTCGTCAAGTCATGTGTTGCAAAGGTTCTTATGTTAGTACTTGTCTCTCATGTGCTGCTACATAGCCATTTGCATTCTTGGTGATGGCCATCTTCAGAATCTGCCCAGTTTCGCCAGCAGTGCCCCAGCAGTGAATAGACCAGAGACAGACGTGGGTATGGTAAGAGTCTCCCGGTGGTTGCCTGACAGGCCGACATCCCTGGTGCGAGTTCGAGCCATTATGGCTTTTCAAACGAATTGCTGCTTCCAGAAGTCTAGTTGTGATGTTTAGGCCACTGTGCAATGAGTGACAGTGCACATCTTCATCGGGTGCATGGAGCTTTGGGTTTGCAATTGTTTGGATGCATTTTGATCCTGTCTCTAGCGAGCCGTGAGAACGTCAAGCCCCAAGCCAAGGTGTGTAAACACCACGATCAGCACCAGTCGAGATAGTTTTACGCTTCGGGTGCCCAAAATATAGACCCTGAAGGAAGTGATATCTTCTTGTCTGCAAAACGGTTACAAAGTCAGCATGTTCTCTCTGCGTACATCCTGCCGCCACGGCTCCAGAAGCACAGTAGACAGACAGACTTTCTTCTTCCTAACTGATAGAAGCGTGCGAGCCGCAAGGCAATGTAGGCTAAGTTGGTCGCACAGTTCTGTTGGAGGCTCTTGTGGACGAGCTCCTTCTGACAGTCTCCAAGAATTGCACCAATGAGAAGCTGAGCTGTGCCAGTAATGAAGGGAGTTCTCTACACTCCCGAACCCTCCCGCTTCTGCCACCGAAGTTGAAGCCGGGTCTAAAAAATATTACCAAGGCGATTTTGGGGGTTCCTGATTCTAATTATAGCATGATGCCCCACAAAACACTACTCTAATAATTAAGGCCCCTATATTCGACAAGCCTGCAGCGCCCCATCCAGAAGCCGACTTCACTTCAAATTCCAAAACCATCCAAAAGCTGACACGAAAGTAGGGCAAGGTATGTGTACGGGTAGCTGTCAAAATCATTGTCCTTCTGGGGAACTCCATGTACTTCTTCTCTGATATACCGCACGCTGGAGTTTGGAAACCCAAAGGAGACCCTAATTTTGACAATCACCCATGTGTAGGTGTTGGGAGTATAAGGCTTTGGGGAAGCTCCTCTGCAACAAGGAGGGACTTGAAGATGACTTTCGTCGCAAACGCGTTGAGGCCTGCCCAGAGCTGCACATGTAGACCCTGGTGGCTAGTTGCTTATTTGGGACCGCATGATATGGGCTTCTGGGTTCTATGTTCCTGGGTGTGGCATGCAGCATGCATGAAGCTCCAAGAACCGTGAGATCAGCTTGGTTGTGAACACACCCTGATTGACCTAACCTGGAGTCTAGCTCGTGATGGGGGCGTCATGAGTATGCTTGCCGCTGGTCATCATGATGATGACGACATTTCCCTGAAATGGACCCTTTCTTCAGACTAGTGCCGAGACGATCGTGATCCATGCTCAGACAGGTGAGACTCCACCCGCACCCGGTCACTTAAGCTCTGCAGCTGAAACGAGCACCGATTCAGACTCATAATTTATAGAGGAAGAACAGTCAGGCCAAGCGTCACCGGGCAAGCGCAGGAGCAGAAGCTGAGAGGGCTGAAAGGCTGGGAGAGCTGCATGCCTGGATTTGACAGGTCAGGGTGCAGGATTGAGCGGCTCATGGGCGACATAACTATAGGGAACTGCAATTACCGCTTTGCAACTTTAGATTGGTTTGGACTGTGCGATCTGTCAGCTTACCTTTTGCATTTAAAGAATGTAAGAATGCAGGGTTTCATGACACCGATCACCACCACAAAGGTCGCCTCCTTCCATACCATTGCTGCTTCGTTTATCATTGCTGCGGTTACACTCTTCTTCCTACTGTTCATCATTTCGACAATTCTTGTGTGCTGATTTAGTACTTATTCCCAGTCTTCTGCTGCTACTCGTTTTCCGTTTTGGCTTCCTCCGGGTGACACTTCAACTGCACCGGTCATAGCCTACGGTGCGTTCTGTGCAAAGCACACCGTTTACGTCACAATCCTTGAATGTTGGTCTCATACAGGCATTGACATACATTCCCCGTCTACACTGAAGTCACATGGAGTATTCGAGTTTTTGATTCAGCAGACGACCCCGTCTAAGTATACTAAGGCTACGGCACTTCCTACATACATGTTCCTACCACTAAACCACAACACTCAGGCGATGCCATTCTATCCCGCATGACCGGTGTTGGCACTTGTAACGTCATCATCGTCTTTAGATAGGCTGGATGCAACGGCCGACACAGAAAGAGAGACAGGCTCCATCATGTTGATCTGCAGGATTGGAATATAGTTGGAGGTATGGTTGCAAATTCTTCGCTACGATTCAAGCTATGATTATTTGAGCCCGAGCTTCTTCTGCAACATGAACATGGTCATCACCACCCCTGTCGATCCGTGATTCGTTATGGTCTACTTCGTCATCAGCCAGTTGAGAGCCTTTGCTGTCTCGTACGAATTGATATGTTGATACTGTGACTGTGACTTCTCCGGCGTCTGCGTGGGCTCATGAAAGAAGGGGATACGAAGGGAGCATATTAGCACCCCGGGCCGTTTGTTCTGTCACAGGTCCTGGGGGCAGGGGGTTGGGCCGATGCAGCGGAAACTGTTTAGTTTCAATGGCCGGGTTTGCATGCAGCCGGGTGCAGACCGGCCCTGAAACTCTAAGCCAGGGGAGGAGAAATTCCTTGGACAGTTCGGTTAGGCTGTGAGCACTGGGAATCATGCGGCCCAAATTTCGGGGACCCTAAGTTGGCTCGAACCTTGCAGTCCCCAGGGTCTGCAGCATCAACGGTGTCTAGGCCACAGTGGCAGGCGACTCATTCCGTTTTCTGTGATTTTGACCAAGGATTCCATGCCTTGCCACCCACCAAGATTATCCTGGATGCGGCGACGCGCCAGCGCATGATCGCCGAAGAGGCCGCTGCCGACCTCCAAGGGATCATTTTTATAGCTATGCTATAACATTTACAGGACCCAAGCAGCTTGTTCTCCCTATTGAGGCCCAATCTTAGGGCTTCGGTCCCGGGGTTGTCCAGTAGCTTGTGCTGCCTTCCCCGTTGCTCATCCAGCAAGTCAGCTGCAGCCTTGCATCGAAGTTGCTTTGAAGGTCACTCGCCTAAGTGACAAGATCTTCAAGTGGTCTCCCCTCCGTCCTCTTCGAGTGCAAGATGGGAGCCCTTTCCAGAAGCTGGAGCCGCCAATGCTTGTCGTCGGCAACAAAAAGTCTATCAGCGGTGCCGAGAGACCGTCCAAAGTGCTCTTCAACTTAGACCGTGCCGGTTCGTTCAAAGTCAAGCCGAGCACACCTCTGCGACTGGGTGCTGCCACGTTTAGAGCCAACCCTTCACAGCAGGACTTCGTGGAGACGGTCTTAAACGAGGTCAGAAGGCTATTGGAGAAGTACGGCATAAGGGTCGCAGACACCTTGGCACCAATCCACAAAAGCGGGTCTCTGGAGAAGGACGTCCAAAGCGCTTTGAGGTCCGAAGCCTTGACCCACGCCGACGCAGTTCTCCTTTTCGGTGGGAAGATGAATGATGCGATGTACAATCAAGCCAAGTACGAATGTCTGCGCTCGCAGAACGATGCTGGGAAACACGTGACGACCCAGTGGCCGCTTGCTCGCAGGATATTTGGAAGACACCGGAGAGGCTGAGAAGGAAGGATTGAACTAACGAACAACATGAATACCCCCACAACTAGCAAAAAACAATAAACAATAGACATATATATATATACACATATACATACACACATACATACGTACATACTCCGGTATGCACGCGGTTTCCACTTGTGTGACCTGCAGGCCCGCACCGATTAACGTGCCGTTGACGACTTATAAAGCTAATTAGCCCGAGAACTGTCGCATGTTAGATTCCCGTTACTGTCCTTGGCATTTGCTCGCAAAGTTTCAACTCTTCCTACGAAGACATGCATGTGCGGACTAGTGACTATACTGTAGTGGTAATACACGCCCTGAACAACGCTAAAGTTCGACGCTACTATGATGACGGCTCCAGAATCCACGTCTGCTCACGGTCTTCTAGATGATTGTACAAAATCTCCCTGCACCGTTGATCCACCCGAAACCTAAAAATAATCAACTGCCGGCCGTCGGGAAACCCCCCCCCCCAGCGGAATGAGACAACGACCTTGCCCTGCATGATCGAATGGTGACAGACCCTAAGCAAAGAAACCTTCACATAAGGCTGGAATTGCGCAGCAAAACTAACCCACAGCCCACACGCAGACCCTACACCCCCGAACCCCACACATCAGTATCTTTAAGGTTCGACCTGGGTAAGAGCAACGTGTGGAGCCCGAAGTCCAAGACGCTGGAGTGGGCAGAGCCTTTGGCTCGTTGTTTTGCGGATTAGGGCGTGGTGCCGGGTTTCGGGCATTCTCGGGCCTGAAGCGATTGAAGCCTACCGCACGCAAGACAGACTTAGAAACACTCTTCCAAGAGCATGAAAACCAGCGGCTCTCGAAGTCGATTCCTAACACAAACGCCATGTACATTTCCCGTGGTCAATCGGGACCATGCAATGCATATCACCGCAGTTAAAGTGATGGGCGTGTCAAGAGTCTGGCAGCCAAGGAAAAGATCTGCGCAGTTGGCATCATCGCCAAGCAGCTTGGCTAGTGTGCACCATGTATCGCGGCATTGTGGGGTAATATAGGGGCCGTAGTCATAGCCTATACTATTTTTGAGGTTCTTTTCTATAATTATACATAGTATAGTGCCCCCCCCCAAAAAAAAAAAAACCTATTCCAATTATTGAGGCCCCGACCTTATGATTTTTTCGGTCTTGGGTTTGGGAGTTTGTTTTTTGTCGGCCTCCATTTTGGATACACGCGACCTATAGCTCAAAGAGCTTTCGGTCTGGTATGCTCTGAGGCATACTCTCCTTGACATGCTATGCATGACGCGAAGCCTAGCTTTAGCAGGTCATGACGGCAGATGGCCCAGCATGTCCGTATTTTGGCACCCAAGCAGATAACATAGTCTCCGTGAGGTGAGTGTTTCCAACTTGCTTCGGCAGGAGGCTTAACGTGTTGCGCAGCTTTGCATCCGTTGAAATTTCCGGATTGACACAGCCAGGCTTGGCCTTTCGACATGATGGCACGCACATACCGCCCGGCAGATCGGACCAGGGGACCGCCCTGGCCCAGTCCCAGTTCTTGGTTCAAGTGCCGGATCCGAGAAATCTGAACCTGTACGTAGTCCGCCCTGGACAACAGCACTTCTGCTAAAGCTGACCTTCGTCGATGTTAGCTGGTGTCCTTTCACATTCAATCCCAGGCTCGGCCACGCCCCTTGGGCAATCAATGTTCGGCCTTGGTTCCGTGCCGCACCCAAGGCCAGTAAGGGCGACGCAGAGCACTGAGCATTGGATGTTCCGGAGTCCGGAGGGTTCAGGCTCAGGGATTTGGGGAACACACTTGGTGTCATGAATTTACTATGGACTTCGAGGGTAAAAGCTATTGGGACACAAGCACAGACCAAGCTACTGGCCGTGAGGCCATGCCCACATCACACGTGACACATGTCCAGATCCCCCGGTCCCAGCAAACTGCGCACTTCCGACATTCAACACAACATGTGTAACATGCGCCTGTTCTAGTACTTCGAATGGAGAAGCCGGGCCGACAAGAAGGCGCTTGACGTCAGAGAACACAGCAATGTGTTGTTGCCTTGGTCTTGTGCCCCAAAACCCTGACGTGCAGGACATTCGTGTGGGTGTGGTGGGCTACGATGTGTGCCACCTGCGCAACCCCAAAAATTTCAAAAAGCCCATATCCATTGCGGCAGCCATCCGAGAATCTGGCTCGCAAAGAGATTGGGTTTTTTCCGAGCCGCACGAGGAAGGCATAGGTGGTCTATCTAGCTCTTTCGGTCGGGCTCGCAGTCTTTTCTGCCCAAGTCCCGCAACCAGGACTTCCCAAAGTTGGGACTAGAACTGAGCCTGTTCAAGTTAAGGGTGATGTTGATTGGACAAGGCTTCAAGTTCGCCCTGGGCCTGGGGCAGCAGGGCCAGTACAATTGCTTTCGTTGCACTGTCTGTGCCAACCATCGAACACCATCATAATATCCATCATCATCATCATCATGTTCCTGCTGGTTGTGCGGATTTCCAAATCTATGTTTCGAGGCTTCGGGGACCACTTCATGATGGGGACGAAAACCAAGACACCCACAGAGCCAGAATTGAATTTCGAGGTAGTAAACTTTGCCACAGATGCAAGTATGTACTATGACGGTCTTGGCGACATGTTCGGACGCTTTCAATTATCAAGCTGTGCAGCTCTATCCGACTATAGTTTGCTCGAGGTCCAGCTGCGGGCCCTGCGGGTGGACTCTGAACCCCTCCCACCCCAAGAATGACATGAACTCCTAAACCCTTGACGTCTAAACGGACAACTGTTTCCCATTCTTTCCGTCAAAAGCTCTCGAAGCTTAGCCGCTTAACAAGTTTAACCACAGGTGGACAGTGAAAAGGACGAGGACCCCTGGCTCCTAAGCCACGTCACTTTTCGTACAGAGCACCCCGGCCCACAGCTCAGGGTGTTGGAGGGTCGGAGCTTGCATTTGCAGTGCAGGAAGCTTGTCCTCCACCTTGCTTAAACGGTGAGCGATAGGTCCCAGAACCTCTTGGCGCATTATTCTTGTTTTGGATGCTTGTGGTCGATTTACGTCACATTTACTTCACAAATCAGATCGCCACTGTCTCGGATTTTGTGCCGAGCTAGGTGATATTCAAGTGATTCGCAACCTCCACAGTCGGATATACACAAGCTATACACAAGCACTTTGCGTGAATAAAGCTTATGCATTTATTTATATGTTTATCTGCACATTGAGAGAATTGGAGCCCCATGACGAGGCGCGTACAGGTGGAGACGGTGCCTAGCCAGAGTCTGAAGGCTGGTTGGGGCAGGTCTTCTTAAAAAGTGGACATCTTGCCAAGAGAGTTGCATTACCTTCGGCTCCAGTTACTCTTGCCCAAGCACAACATTGACGGCATCACGAAACACCCGCAGATTGGTAGTTTTCCAAATTCGGGTCCCTTGTGAATCCTTAGAACAGTATGACTAAGAGAACTATACTCAGATTCAGGACTCGAAGTTACAGGGGCTTGGAGCATCCTGGAGCCTACAGAGTCTGGAATTCGGGAAAGTTACATAGGGTGAGAGGTTGGAAGGCTATGTCATGTGCACTTTGGGCTGCTTATGAGCCGTAAGCAAGACTGCGCTTTGAGATATAAAAAAAAACCCTAGCAGGAAATGATCCCTGCTGACTTTGCGCGCGGCCGCCTGATAATCATCCACCGGGACGGCGAGTTTCCGCAGCTTGGGCCTACTGAAGTATACTGGAACTGGCACATCCTGCTCCAGCGCACCTAACCCAGATGTTAATACGAAATGTCTTGTTCTTGCAGCCTGCACCTCCAAACCTTGTTGCTGCCGCCTAACCCTCCCGGACTGCCCCAAAACCTGTGTGCGGCTAAAAACTCCGCCCGATCGCTGAACCTGGCTTCTTTCCGTGCCCAACACTTTGCGCATGTTTAACTTACTTGTCGAACTTATCAGATAGATTATCTTGAACTTACCTGGACGGTTCGGTGTTCAGCAGCTGAAAAGTTAACCCATAGGTACTACAACTTTCGGGTGTTGTTGACAACTTGTTTGCGTTGAAAATCAGTAGACCGCGGCAATAAACACATATTATACACAGACAGACAGCCACCAACGCACCAAAAAGGCAAGCATACCAGCACAGAACCAAACAACCAAACGCCCCACCAGCTAATACACAGACAGAGAAACGTACACACAAACCAACAAGCAAACAAGCTGCCGACCACACGAACAAACGTCCAAACAAACAAAGAAACATCCAAACAAGCAATCCTTCGTATATGAAGGAGACAGAGGAACAGAGAGCTTCTTTTCTGCTTCCATAGGAAGGCGGAGCTGGCATCACTGCGGGCCTACCACGAGGAGCTGGCGGCCAGCGAGGTCACGCGAAGAGAGCTTTCCACAACGGGACAAATAGCACGATATAGGCGGCTAACATCGAATGTCGTCAGCACAGTGCATTGACAACAACATAACAACAACGGTTTGGCGAAAAGTGGGGCGAGTTGCTGGAAGTCTGTGTGAGGGATCTGTTGGTTTTTGATGGGCAGCAACTTGGAGTGTCGCAAGTGCTCCCTGTAGGTTGTTCAAGGAAGGTTTGTTGGCCCCAGCCTTCAGAGACCACTTCGCCACCAATCTTGCATGCAGCCAGCCCTACCAGGGTGCAGGCCAGACGCTCTGTCCATTTCATTTGCAACGGAATTATTACCGGGTTTCAGCTATGAACATCAAGACGTGCCCAGGGGGAAGAACAGGAGGAACCAGTGCGACAGCACGCGTCGGAGTTGCAGTCGACGTCGTGGTCGCAGACGTCGTCGTCGTCGTTGTAGTCGCAGAAGTAGTGGTGGTGGGGGTAGCAGCAGTAGCAGGAGCAGTGGCAGTGGTCGTGGTGGTAGTGGTGGTGGTGGTGGCTATTGTTCTCGCTGTAAAGTTCGCATGTACTCCTAGCATCTCCGAGCGACTGCCTCTGCCAGGTTTCCTTGAACTTGGCAGTGTTGCCAATACTCCGCCACTTGTGCGGTAGCCATGCCGTCACCAGTACTAGATGTACTGTCATGACGACTAATCACTAAGACGACGCCCCGCAACCGGGTAGGGTAGAGGGTGTACGGCTCAATTTGTCTACCCCGCGTAACAGTGTCTTCAACAAGATGCATGTTCCGCATCTAGCCACCAATCTAGTCCCTCTTGTCGGGGCATACAGCCCTGTGGCGGGAGCCTGTGAGACGCTGCACTCCCACCAGAAAGCTCGAATCTGCCAGGGCGGAAGCCAGACCACTTTCGTCCTGGTGGAGTGCGTTCCCGGGCTTGAGAAGGGACTTGAGTTCGGAGAGCCTTTAAAACTTTAGGATGTCCATGTCTCGGGCAGATCCCTCCTCTCTGCCCCAAGCTCTGGACCCCTTTAACCTGAACTTTATCTTCGAGGCCCAGAGCCGCGTGCAAAGCGACATTTCTGATTTGCTCTCATTTATGATGGCTATGATGGTTCTGCAAACACGGAGATTCCCCAATCATACCTTGTGATGCAATGTGACGCAGGCTTCTGTGCATCATTTGTCGGAATCGGGAGCAGTGTAGGTTTTCGTCCTGTTTCACGTCGGGCAAGTTGGACTGTGCCCTTGACAGCTTGAAGCCTGAAGCACCAAGCTCTGCACAACAGCCGGCCAATCCAGCTGTTGGGCACTGGCAGAGTTCGACAGAACACAAAGCCCATGATAGCTTGAATCATTAAGGTTCGACGCCCTGTTAGCCCGAAAGCCTTCAAGCCACCCTGTCTTGCAGGTGAAATGGGCCGGCGGATCACCCAGACTCTACGAGGGCACCAAGTCCGCTCCTGCTGGCGCAATGTTGGCTTTGAGTGACAAGGACTTCCCGCGAGCTTCGCTTTGAGCTAAACCCTCACCCCGGATGAGGAAAACCTGCATGATCCTGCATGAAATCCGTATGCCCTGAGACCCACCGTGGCTTAGCAGGAAGTCTACTTAGGCAAATCTCCCAAACGTCCAAGTTTCACTCCAGCCATCAACTCGGAACAGGGAGCTGCAAAGCCCTTTACGTGAACACTCAACCTACTGTTTTGAATTATACTATGTAGATCTAGATGTAGCTACCTGCTACGCGAACCTTCTAATCCCGACCCCTAAACCAAGCGCTATACTCCCCGTAAGTCATTCAGCCCTGCCAGCTCGTTCAAGCCCTAAGCCCTGTAACGCCCCCTTCCCAAAGCCCTAAACCCCTAGGCAAGAGAGACACACTCCTTCCGAGGAGGCACTCCTAGCCTCGAGCAAGGATATCTTCCAGGGCACTGCGCAACTCGGCATCGAAGGAGGTTAATTTAGAAGCCGGAAGAGCCACTACTGACCAATACCATTTAAACTGCAAAGCCTTATTCTAACTGTAGTAGAATATTGCGACTTATTAGGGCGACTGTATCGAAGCCCCGTAGCACATGTTATTGTATGGTTTGGGGGGCGAGGGCATGCAGGGTCTTTGGGTGAACTAGGATCCTAATCTGAGGTACAGAATGTAGACATGTGGTAGAAAGGTAAATGTTATTTAACGCGTATGTCGACATCTGTACATGCAGTTATTTTTTTGCTGTAAGTGTACGTATGTTTGCATGCATGCATGGATGGATGTATGTATGTATGTATGTATGTATGTATGTATGTATTTATGTAATGTATGCAGGTAATGTATGTGTATGTCTATGTGTATGTGTATGTATATATATATATATGTATGATTGTATGACGTACATATGTCCATGTATGTATATTCCACGACTTAATATCTTCGATGCATATGACCAGGACCGTAGCTTCGATCAGCCATCGTTAGATTTGGGAAAACTTGGTAGGTGAAGCCAAATCCAGGCTGCTGGCTGCAGATGCAGCAAGGGGCAAGGGGTTTGCGGTCAGTGGAGACTCAGTAAAGTTTAGGGGATTTAGGGTTGAATGGGTTCAGTGTAAGCTTGAGCTTGGCATGGGCATGCGATTTCTGCTGGCAGGTTGATGCGAAATGGAAACCCAAGGCCCTCAGCAAAAGCCGTACAGCCGTACAGGTACATAAGAGTATTCCTTCTGATCTGACACAACATGAACCCGAAGTAAACCCAATTTTCGCTCGCACTAGCATAGCCTCAAAAGCGGACTCAGTCGGACGAGATATCCTGACTGACCCCCAGAAAAACGCCGCAATCCCAAAGCTTGACTTGACCAAAGCTCAGGAATCCCATCAGTTTGCGACTTGCAGGACGGATTCGCACAAAGATTGAAGTCCAAGCTTTGGCAACCGGGGGATGTGTATAAACCTGTGCGACTCAGGATTAGGATTCCGACTGATCAGCCAGGGAGGCGGAGCACACTGCAGACACTGCTAAGATCACATATGCTGTCGCGGAGCAGCCTCTAGCAAAGGTGTTCTAGGGGCTTACATGGGCTACAGGTTAGGAATTTGTGATTGGATCCAAACCATGGCATTTTCTCTGGTGACACTCTCGGGGCAGATGTGTTTGGTTTGGTTTCACGGGCTGGACTGCTTCGAGATGAAAGCACAGGCAACACTACAAGAAAGGGCCCCACTCCTTAAACCTTTTGCATCATTGCCCAGATTCAGACTTCTCCTGAAGATTCTTGCAAAAAGAAATATGCGAAACCTAGAAAAGGAGAAGGCTCAAGCCTGGTTTTTTTAGGATGCAGAAAGGCTATCCGGGCTCATGGCCAGGAGTTCTTGGAGATGTCGCACACAGCCAGTTCGCGATGGACAAGCATCTTGTCACACATTGTGGATGAATGCGAAGATGAGTTTGAAAAGTAGCCATCTGTTCTAGGCGTCGATAGAACCCTATATGTTCCCTATCCGTTTCCGGATAGGCCAGCCAGACGTGGACCATATCTTCAACCCATACATCTACCTATCAATGTAACCTATCTGCAACTAGGTAGACCCCTGTCCATATCCTTTGCCTGGAACCAGGGAAGACCTCTGCCCGTAGGCCCCTATCCAGCCCTGTACGCATAAATTTTTAATCGGGTTTCCGTAGACACCCAGCCGTAGGCCCCAATGCCTTCGCCTTCTTATTCAGCAATTCGAGCTAAATATATCGGACCATCATTATGCACTGCTTTGTGCACACGGCTATGGGAAAAAGGTCATTAAGGAAACCTGCTCGCGATGATCCGTGTGCAAAATGAGCCAAAAGGGAGTCTGTGCGCACCATAGGGGTCTACAATTCCCTAGCCCCCTCTGTATAGTGGCCCCGATCCGACCTAAAAAGAATGCCTGTGCATAGGTTCCTGTCACGTTCTTGCGGGTAGTGGTCTATGCCTTTTCAGACCTAGGGGTCTGCCTCTTTTGTTTAGGCGACTACTTTGCCCAACCCTCCTCGGAGATGCAGGCGTCGAAATAAGATGACATGATCAGAACCCTGCTTTGGCTCCTGGAAAGGACCCGGAAAGGACCTTGATGGGCAGTTTTGTGTGACCCACCATCTGGCTACTGGTTCGAAGAATGCCATGCCAATTTCAGCATCCTATGCCCCTGTCCACTCACAAGAGCGGTGTTTCAAGTCTAGGTACCTGGAACTGGCATATATGCGCAGCCTACCTACAGGTAGAGTCTTGCACTGCCTGTGCGATTTTTGACCAGCTACGTGGAGCTGTGCGAGTCGTACGACGAGTCTCCAAAAACAGTGTCTGGAACGAAGGCACGTGAGCTAGCCAAAGGATTCAGGGCTTTAAGATGCAGGCGGTGGCTGTGGGAAGAGGGGGGAAAGAAAACCTTACAAAGCTGGAACAATGCGAGGTTCGCTTGGGTGCAGTCCGTTTTCGACCTCAGTTACCTTCACCACGGTTCCGTGCTGAAGCGGCCAAGGCAGGGCCCCTTTGAAGTTGTATTCCGGGCAGTAGCTCAGTAGCAGCTTGCAGCTTGCAGACGGATGTTAAGAGGGGAACCTATGAACACAAACTGGCCTTGGTGTTTTTTAGTCCGAATGTCTCGTCGGAGTTCACACGGTCTCGTGTTGCAGTCCAGGGTCCGATCCAAAAGTGGGATTGACCATGTTCAGCCGAAGAGCCTATCGCCAAGGCCCAGATACACTGATGATAGAAGGTTAAGCGTGAAAGCTGCGAGTCTCTTGCTGAAGTGATTTGACAGTGCTGACGCATGCTTGTAGGACCCACCCCCACGTGTGGAAGTCTTGATGAGCCAAGATTCCGTAGTCACAAGGTTTCAATTTAGACGTCTTCGTTCCTCATCCCGTCATCCGGGCAGGCTTCCCATCACTACTCACTTTGCCGACCGCTTCTCGCCAACGTGAGCTTCAGATGGGGTGCATAAGTGGTATTATACTGATATCAACAAGAGAACAGTGATGATAATAGTAGTTTATGCCGCATTTATGCCTTCATGCTCTCCCCTATGCTACGGATGTGCGGCACACGAGCTTCCCAAAGGCCTGTTTCCATGAGCCGTTGTTTTTTATAGGTCACATGTGCCCGTTTGCCTTACGGATGACCTAAACCTGGAATGCACAGTAGTAGTGTCGCGCAGACCTGCTCCAAACCTCGCGGAATATTCAAACCTCCAGCTCCTGAACCGTTTTAGATATACTTCCTCATGTCTCAACCAACCCGAAAGTAGCTTGCCTGGTGCTTTTCTGGTGGTGGTCCCGGTGGCGGTCGTTAACTTTCTTCTTGTTGTTATCTTCTGTTAATCATCGTCAATTATTGTTTCAATTATTCGGGCAATGACTGGTACAGTAATATTGTCAATACTGTTCTTGATTATATTAATGGCATTGTTATAAGTGCTATCAGTGTTACTGTTATCAAGTACTACACTTAGTATGTGTCTGAGTCCGTGAGAGAGCGGGAGGGGGAGAGAGAGAGAGAGAGAGAGCGAGAGAGAGAGAGAGTAAGAGTATGTCCGTGTCGGTGTCGTTGCTGCTGGTGCTGGAGTTGGTGTTGGTGATGGAGGTGTTGGAGGTGTTGGTGGTGGTGGTGGTGGTGGTGGTGGCGGCGGTGGTGGTGGTGTCGTGTTGCTGCGGCTGTTGCTGCTGCTGCTGCTGCTGCTGCTGCTGTCGTGACGATGTTGTCGTTGTGACGGGGTGACCCGGAGGCTAAGACGATTGCCATTCCTGGTTTGATGGTGCTGCACTGCACATGGAGAAGCCGTCGTCGGTCATCAGTCTGCTCGCTCTTTCGAGCCCAGGATTAGCCTACATGCTCTCTGCATTGGGCAAGGATGGTGGCGAGTGGGAGAGCGTCTTGGCAGACAACTGCTCTGGATGAATTGTTTCGCATGGCTGTGGCAGTGCTATTTATTAATTGGGGATCAGCATGGGATCTCATCAGATACAAATGTCTCAAAGACCAGAACAGATAGCAGAAAACCGTAGAGGCCTCACTTCAATGAGGATCTCCCCATGAAACGAATCTCCCCCCTCGCTGCCAACTACCAACAATCAGACCCTGCATCACAGGTTCGTCCTAGCCAGGCGGGAGGCAAAAAGAACACTGAGTCTGAGCAATATGCACGTCGGCCCGGCAGACCCGCTTCGTGGATTCATCACTCAGCTGGAACTTAGCGCATGAAGGAAGTCGCGGGTGACTTTTTGTGCCAACCCTTATAGCCTTGAGGAACTCGGCCGGCACTCTTAGCCCTAATGCCCCATGTCCCGATGGGACATGCAACAACTCCAAGGTGAGCTGACCGCCGTGTCTGAGGGCACTGAGCAGTTTTGGCTTTGATGCGATATGTCAACATAGGTCTTGCTGTCACCCTGAGCAAGTCCGAATGTCTCAACTTGATGAATCCCAAAGATGCTATCCACGAGTCGTCTTGCATGTTGATACTGAGTGTCCGTGAACATCAATATGTCTCTTTGGATGCTGTCAAAAAACAAACTCAAGCTTGGCCGACGTGCGACTCAAGTCCGAAGCACGTGATTCCGGCCATCAGAGCTGGATGCACAGGGTTGTTTTTTCTCCATCTGAAACCTAGCTGGCATGTACAAGATAGAAGTATTTCGCCACTTCTGCAGGCTTGTAATGTTGGTTCTGTGTGCTTTGTGTAGTAGTTGGTGTTCCGATGACTACTGCGTGCGGCAGTAGTAGTTGATGAAAGCTCCAGAGCCTTCTTCACACCTCAAGGGGGTGTGCATGAGCTGCCGTGGTCCTTTCGCTTGGACATCAAATTTCAAAGTGAGCTTTGCAAAGGACCACGTGGCTCATGCCAGATTCAAGGTGAAAATCCTCACAATCGCATTTTATCCGGGAGATCTTGGGGGACCGCCTCGCTGGAGAAACTGTGGCTGTGAGCATGCGCTGTGCATGTGGGAGTCTGGGTGAGACATGCCAGCCCGGAAACTGCGTCTATGAGATCCACGATGTCCAGAACAGCCCTATAAGCATGTAGGCTTGCACAAAGGCACGTACCATGGTGACACTCGTCATCCGCGTCGAAACACAAGCGAATACTAGCCACGAGATTTCTGCCAATGGTCGTGAAGATGACATTCAGGATGATGGTTGTGGTGATGGCGGTAGAGCGCGAGAGCCTTTTGAAACGAGCACTCGGCAGCAGCAAGAGCAACGAGGAAGGGATAACCACTACCACGACGACCTGAACCACAGCTTGCAAAAACAGCAGCCGAACTAGCAGCATCAGCAGCAGGCACCGTAACTGCAAAGACAGCAACAGCTCTGGCTACGCGACACAGGACAAAGAGGCCGAGATGGTCATGGCTTCCTTGAGGCGCCCTGGCAAGTTACTTGTGCTGTGGCTCGTTGCGGCCTTCCAGGTAGCTCAGAGCTTTCCACACCGAAGGAAGGTGCTAACCAGCGGTTAGGATATTTGTACCGCACTGTCGTACTACATGAACACATGGACCCCAAGATCTAGCTGATCTGATCCTCGCTAGACAGCTCAAGCACACATGTCCCGTGAGTGTGGAAAATTGAAAAGGACCCGGCTTCTTGTTAGGATGTACTGCAGCAGGGCATCGGCTAGACCAAGACTTCAAGCACAAGTTTCCTGGAAATTTCAGCCAGAAAGCCAGATCAAAAATCGCGGCCCAATAGTTTAAAGAGTACTATACACACACCACAGCTTCTCTTGCCCCCGCCCTGCACCTCAAGCCTGCGACACGCCAGGCTTGACCTCACCCCTCGCACTGGCTTTTGTGGCTTTTAAATCCCTAGACCCTTCGAAACCCTAGGCCCTCGAACCCTTAAATCCGGCTCAACCCGAAACCCTATAAACCGGGCTCGTCCTAGAAAGGTGGGAGGCAACAGACCCTATAAACCCTACAATCCCTAAACCCTTCGGGAAACCCTTTGGAACCCTTAAATCCGGCTCAACCTTAAAACCTATAAACCCTATAAGCCCTAAATCCCTAAACCCTTCGGACCTTAAATCCCTTAAATCCGGGGCTCAACCCTAAACCCTAAACCCTATAAGCTCCTTTCAACCTATCTCCCCAAAGCAACCTCGCTTGTGGGCATTGATCCTTAGCCATGCGAGAGGGGAAAAAACCCTGAACCCTGAACCCTAGCAAGGTGGGAGGCAAAAAAAGTTCTGTGGAAAGTCTGTTAAAATCGGGATCCTTGGTCGAAGTACCCATTGACAACAAACCCGAAAAGTTTCAGAGTTCAGACACCCGAATCTGACCCTTCTGCAGAGCCCGTCAGAAACCTCTTAGAGATAGAATCCTTGTTTTAAGCGCCCTTACAAGAGTTGCAGAGCCAGGAAAACCTTCAAACAAAAACTGGCTTAAGACCCAGAGCCCCGTCTAGAACCCTAAACCCTAGATCTTTGTCCCAGCTGCGAGAGTCCAAATCTCAAACCTTCAGTGACTCAGTTGTAAACCCTAAGTCCCTCTAGAAGCCTTGAAAGAAGATCGCTATATGGCCTTTTGGTTCCAGGATTTCGATCCGGTGCCTTTCGCAGTCGCACACAACGACCAGGGAAGCAACTTTGTCACCCGGCCGTTTGGTGCGTCTTGCAACTTTGGGGGTTCGGGTCGAGGGCCTTGATGTTTGGATGCTTCGGGTCTTGTCCGAATTCGGTTTGCGGGCAGGGTGTAGGGTGAGGGTTGTGGGTTAAGCCTTCGGGAGTTCAAGCTAGAGTGTCATGTAATTTTATGGAGAGCAACACTGGTAGAACAGCTTCACACCTTGAACCAAGAGCTCGAAAAAGCCCAAAATGCCACTCCTAACAGCATGCACCTTAAATCATCTCAAGCCCTGTAAGCTTTAGCAATGTACTCCAATGATGAAGGCTTCTATGTTCAGGTCAGCGATTCCGATCTCCGAAGCCAATGAAACGTTAAAGCCGCAATATGGGTAGTTCTCTAAGTCAGGGAGGGTCCTCGCAATAAGGTTGCCGTACTATTTCTGGGGGCCTAAAGAGGCACCTTAGTTTGGAGAGCTACCCATATTGTGTGGGAATGCTGGCGGGTTCTATGAGGGTGGCCGAAAGATGTTATAAGCGGTTGGAAGATGTCGAATTTTGTCCTGGCACTGGGGCCTACAGAATAACGGCATTACGGGGGCTAAGTACGAGATATAGGCATGATGAAGCAAACATGGGTCCAGTTCCTGAGGCTCCTACATGATACTGCTGATGATATAGATCCTGCATTTACCTAAGGTCCCTAACCTATGGGAATCATGGTATATATTCCTTATTATGGGTAAAGCAGGATGTATGTCATCAACCGTAGTGGTGTGGGTTTCCTGGCGGGTCGGATTGAATTCCTTCGTCCGAGGTCTACAGCAAAGGCAAGTGGAGATATACCGCTCTGTCGGCCCCGAAGCCGAGAGCTCAGCTGATGGCTTGGATTAGGCTTAGAGCGCCTTGCTTGGTAGGTCATCGAAGTTTCCCCGTAGATCCCAGATGAGCCTTCTTTATGGAGGGGGTACACTATAGGACATACTAGTGATGCCAAGTGCTTTTATCCCTACATCACTGTGTGGGGTTTTTGTTTTGAGGCGGCGTCCCGCTCCGCCCCGCTCCGCTCCGCTCGCCCACACACACCACAGCACACGCAGCGCGCGCACACACACACACACGCGCACACACACACACAGACAGACAGAGAGACAGACACGCAGCACACGTGCCACTTTCCCGCAGCCGTAGCTCTCGCGTAAGGCGGAGAGGTCTGTGGGAGGGAGGCGCATTTGGGAACCCTCTCCCGTAAAACCTTTATAATAGAGGGCTCTGTGCGCGTTTGCGCGCGTTTGGAGACCCCTGTCCCGTAGAGGCTTTAGAGGGCTCTCGCGGCTACGTCCAGGAATGCGGCGGGTCCGAAACCTCTGCAGTCAATTTACATGTCGTTTCAACTCCAGTACAGCACATTTACTACCTCGCCTTACAAGTGCCCTACACGTTACCTGCGATGGCCAACGAATTGATCGTGAGACAAGGGAGCATCTCGAAACTGCTGAAACCAGGAAAGGGGGATTGGGGGAGGGGGGGTCCCAAACGTCTGTACACACACACACACCACAGCACACCCACCCACACACACACACACACACACGCACGCATCCACACACTGTGCCACACGCACACACACACACACATGCACGCAACACACACACACACACGTCTATATACCAATAACCGCCACCACCGCGTTTACCTGACTAGCATCAAAGAGGTACACTCATGCGGGGTTATCCGGTCCTTTAGTTGTGATCATCTAACAAGTACAAAGGTTGCAAAAGCATGATCACCCCATATCCGTACATATATAACCGATATAGCAGTAAGTCCGACACCTCGACATCCAAAAAGACCCACAGGCCGGATCAAGCTGCGGGACAGCAAAAAAAAAGTAAGCTTCCGAAGAGCGCACAAAGTCTCCCAGCACCGCCCGGCAAGCATGTCTCAGAAGGTACAGTATGCCAGGGGTAACATGGACATCGTCAGCAAATTAGTTTGGAGCACCCTCAACCCTAAACCCCTAAACCCCTAAAGCCCCAAGCCCCTAAAGCCTAAACCTCTAAAACCCTAAACCCCTAAACCCCTAAACCCTACACCCTACACCCTGAACCCTAAACCTCTAAAACCCGAAAGCCCTACACACTTCGACCTGACAAAGGCGAGTTTTGGATTTTCCTACAGCTTAAAATCAGCTCAGAGGCGCCTCTGGACCGAATCCTAAACCCCAGACCCCGACACCCTAACGCAGCAAGACTCGACGCGGTGTAGGGTTTAGGATTTAGGGTTTAGGATTTAGGGGTTTAGGGTTTAGGGCCCAAGCTCCCAAACCGCTTGAAAC